TCTGCTGCTGTTAGGGAAAGTCTGGGAGACCAGGGGCCATAAGTGTGCTGGGAACAACTGCCTGAGGAAGGGGAGAGAGATCGGGGCTTCAAGCAGGTCACAGACAGAGATCTCTGCTTTGGAATGAGTTAGGGGTGTGGTTCAACATGGGAGAATCTGAGATCAGATGCCCAATGTTGTCATGTGAAGGACCCAGTGAGGACTCAGGTGAGCACTGTGCTCACAGGTGACAGCTCCCCTTCCCAGGCCGAGTTGCAGCATTTCTCCAGGAGGCCTTTCCTGAACTCCCAGGCTCCATGTGGAATTTACCACGTGTTCTATGATGCCTCCTTTCCCTGTGTGTTCAGTAGATTTTCAGTCCCAGGAACAGATACTATCTGATATATTTTATTCCTCAACACTTGATAAAAGTCACTAAAAGCACTTGTGAGATAAATCCCCCCGGTGACACTGTGTGCATCTGAGGTGTCCTACCACTCTAAGACAGTCAAAGATGGCCCTGAAATAAGGATCCAGAACCTGGTGGACATCTTGACTAGAGGCTTCTCTTTCTCCCCTTTTGCTCTTCAGAGGGATTCTGGGTGTCATCTTGGTGTCACAGAACCACGAGTCCTGTGGCTTTCTGCTCCCACTGTGGACCTCACCTTCATGTTTCTCTCACAGATACACACTCTCTTAGTTGCAAAGTCATTGTCAGAGCTCGTCCCGCACTTCGACAGCCCTGGTATGAAGTACAGTGCTCACTGGATGGAGAATCTTTCCTTCAGTATGATAATCACAACAAAGCCACACCTTTGGGTGACCTGGGAAAGGCAGTACATGACACTCAAATGTGGACAGATTTGATCCAAAGGCTGGAATACTTGGGGCAGGAGCTCAGGAAGATTCTGGCTAACACCAAACAAGAGACGGCTGACCCCAGTGGTAAGTGTGGGATGGAGTTCAGAGGCAGAGACAGGTGGCAAGAGAGAGGAAGGGCAGAGCACATGTGGGAATGAGATGGTGGTTGTATCTGTGTGAAAGAGCTGAGCATTGGCCCTACCTGGGAAGCATATGGTACCCAATGATAATGATACTGGCTCATAAGCCAGGGGGAAAAGTCTTGACCTTTGAGGAGGTGATGGATCTATCAAAAGAGAAGAATGATGACTTTGTATGTGTTTTGCAGGTCACCCTACTTTACAGACCATCATGAATTCTAAATACAAACAAGAACAAATCATTGATGCCTCCTGGCGATTTAATATCAGTGGAAAGTACTTCTTCATCCTGAACACAATGAATATGAGCTGGACACCATTTAGTCTTGAAGCCAGAGGTATCATGAATGATGAGCAATTCATAAAAGATCTCAAGGTAATCTCCACAGCAGACTCCAGTTACTGGCTCAAGGAACTCTTAAAGCACCAGAAGGAAAAGCCAAGTAGGTATTACCTAGATTAACAGAAGGCAACTCCATCAAATTTGATAGATGGTTTGGGTGATTACTTGGTGGTCTTCCTGTCCGGGAGTCAGGGATGACCACAAAGAGTTCTTTTCTACCTCACCTCCCAGTGTTTCTCATTCCCTAAATACCAATGATTCAGGTACTCAGGGCCTGCTAACGGGCCCCAAGTCTGTCTGCATCACTGTAAACTTCCAGCCCTTTCTTCCTCACTTAAGGCTGCCTTTCCATCAACTCCATCACTTTGAAAGGTTTCATTATCCTTCTCTGGCACAATTAAACACCACCATTTGCCCCAACATCCAGAAAGTTCTACCCACAGTAAATATGTCACATTGTTTCATGGTTTGATAGACATTTGCTTTCTTTGGTAAGGAAATAAACTCTGCAAGGACATTGTACATACAACTCTACTCCTCTCTCTACTCAGGACCTTATAGATAGTTATTAAACATGAGTCTCTCAGGTTGCCTAGAGAGAGAAAGTGTTGAATGATGTGTGTTTTTGCTTTAGTTTTAGTAATTTTCCTGATTTTTTTAAGGACCAACATCAAGGGCCCCAGATATCATCTATCTTCCACCTACCATAGATGTCACACCTCATCCATCTACCAGGCAGTTTCCCAATAACAAAGAATCCATCATCATAGCAGTAGTCATCTCCATCATCATCATCATCATCCTTATCATTATTTTCATCCGCATGTGTGTGAAGAGGAAATGTTGTCCCCAAGGAGGTAAGGAGCAAGCTGGGGTGTCACTCTGGTTCTTGGTAGGGTTAGACTTTCCACTGGGAATCAGGGATGGGAATTCTGATCTTCATGCTAGCATAGCACAGACCTTACCCACTGAAATCTCTTCTCATCCCCCCAAAATAACCTGTTGAGAGTCTGGTTACCAATTCAATATACTATCTTCATCTCAGACAATGAGAACTGAACGTAACAAGCTTCTGAACACCTCACTTGCATGCACTCCTATTCATGGCCCTTAGAGGAACTCTTACAACATACTCATTCCAAAAACAATTACAAAGGTGTTTTCCCACAGTCAACTAGGACTGTTCACTTACCCTTTCTGTCTCACTTCTCTCTGTGCCACATGCAATTGAGAGGATGTTGTCCCTAGAACTGGGTCTGTCGGAGAAGTGGTTGGGTGGCCTGCACTCCAAACCCCCTTCATTTGTCAGGGGTCATGGTACATCAGGGTATAAGTTAAGGGATGACTTGCAGATTTGTCTGTTGAAGTAAAGGGCTAATTACTTTCAGACTCAGAGTCTGGAGCTTTGGATCTCACTGTAAAACCTTTGCAAAGAGAAATCAGCAGCAGCCCATGAACTGGTCCATCAACTGCCACAAGCCATAGAGGAAAGAGAGGCCCATGGAGCCAAATGGTGATGGTCCTTTTCCATAAGAAAGCAAGCTGAGTAATCCATGAGGAACAATCCAGTAAGCAGCACTCACCCATGGCCTCTGCATCAGCTTTTGTCTCCCGATTCCTGCCCTGTTTGAGTCCTGTTCTGACTGCCTTCAACTGATGAACAGTGATTTGGAAATGGAAACCAAATAAACCCTTTCCTCTCCAAGTTCCATTGGTCATGATGTTTCTTCACAGCAGTAGTAACCCTAACTAAGACAAATTGGTATCATGATAGTGTGGGATTGTTGTGACAGACCTGGCCATGGGTTTTGGGGAGGTTTGTAGAAGGGCTTTGGGCTAGAAAAGCTAATTGGGCGATTTTTTTTTTTTTGAGACAGAATTTCTCTTTGTAGCTTTGGAGCCTGTCCTGGAACTCACTCTGTAGACCAGGCTGGCCTCAAACTCACAGAGACCCCCCTGCCTCTGCCTCCTGAATGCTGGGATTAAAGGCATGTGCCACCAACATCCACCAATTGGGTCATTCTTAGGAACTTGGAAGATAAGAATGTAGAGAGCAGTGCAAACAATGGAGGCCTGGCCTGTGAAGTTTAGGGAAGCAGACTCTACTGGGCCATTTGAATGAAGAGTCAATGGTTCTGGGTATCTGGGGCTGGAGAATCAGCTGTGATTAACAAGATACCAGAACTACTAAAGTGAAACCTTTGCTTTGCTGGGATACTCAGTGCTAGTCCGCTGTAGTTGAGAAATTATTGGTGATTACAAAGAGAGCAGCATCTTTGAGGTGAAGTCTTCTGGAAAGTGTTTCCTGAGAGTCAACACACAGAAGCTATGTTCCAGACATGGATAAGGTTGTACTTTGTGCTGTCAGTTGAACTTAGTAGTGTAAGATCCACCCAGGTGGTGCTGGTTTTGAGGGTGTGAAGGGGTCATGGAGGCTAGGCACTATTTAGCAGGAATGGAGTCCATAAAGAAAGCACTTTCAAGCTACTACTGAAAGTGTAGTTATAGCAGGAGACTCTAGCATTTTGGAGATGCTAGGACCATGGGATGACCACCAAGAACAGCAGCAGCAGTGGAATGCAGCCAATCAGAGACTAGAAGATAAGCTGTGTGTACCACAGAGAAGTTTGTAAAGTGCTGATGGTGTGCCATGCACAGCTCAGCCATGGACCCTGTGTCCGGGTTCTCATTGGGGATTCCACCACTGGGCCTCTTCTCAGTCAAGGGTTTCTGGTGAAGCCAGACTCCTACAGACCAGATTAAAAGCAAAGTCTAAGGATCTTCAGAACGTAAGAGCATGCAGGAAAAGGGAAGGGTTAGGAAATTCCTAGATGAGCAACCTGAGACACAAAGGCAGAAGTCCTCCAGCAAAGGAATAGCAGAGATGTAAGCTGTCTTAGTGTTCTATTGCTGTGTAGAGGCAATAGAACCATGGCAACTCTTATAAAGGAAAGCATTTGATTGGGGCTTGCTTAGAGTTTCAGAGGTTTAGACCATTGTCATCATAGCAGGGAGTATGGCAGCATGCAGCAGACATGGTGCTGGAGAAGTACCTGAGAGTTCTGCATCAGCATCCACAGGCACAGAAAGAGGGAGACACTGGGTCTGGGCTGGGATCTTGAAATCTCAAAGCCCATCCCCAATGACACACTTCCTCCAACAAGGCCACACCTACCCCCACATAGATACACCTCCTAATCCTTCTAAGTAATGCCTTTCCCTGATGACAAAGCATTCAAATCCTTGAGGGCCATTCTTCAAACCACCACATAAGCCCACCTCCTCAGATTCCCTGTGTCCTGCACCTCCGCTCCAGACTGGGGTCTGATCAGTGGTTGTAAAGTTCGTCCTTCCCCACATTTCTACAGTGTCTTTCACAAAGCCGGCATCAAAAACACCCAGGAAGACAACAGCTGTGTGCAGACAAAGCCTGTCACACTGTTCCACTCTGTCTGCTGATATCAAACAAGACATGATCACACAAACCAACCGGGTCTTATGAAAACTGGTGTTGTAAGAGACTTCACCTGGGGAGACACACACACACACACACACACACACTCACAGCAGAAAGTAAACCTATGACAGACCTAATTTCCAACAGCACAAAGGTCCAACTTGGGAACCACTGGTTTTCTTTGGGGTCACACACACGAGTGTGGTGAGGAGTTACTTACAGGAGCTGGGATGAGTTCACAGCAGCTACATCACTACAGAGCCCACCTCAACACAGGTGGTGACTCTGGGAACAGCACAGCTGAAACTTCACAGCTTGCAGGCCTCTGGACAGGTCTGGGATCTTCTCTGAAGCTGCTCAGAGTCTTCTCCTTCTACAGCCTGGGTGGGTTCTCTAAAGTTTCTGAGTTTCACTTTCTCAAACACAGGAAATTGCTTATTTTTAAATCTGAAGTGGGCGTTATTGTAGGAGGAAAGACTAAAAGCAACATGTAACTTTCCATCTAGGCAGAGAACTTTGTCCCACAGACAGGTTAAACATTAAAACAAACCCAAAGTGTAACTCTGCAGAGGACCCAGGTTTTTTGATTTTCAGGTAAACTGTCTTCCATTTCCCTAGGAAGGCCTTCTTGAGAAAAAAAAAAAAATCACTTCACAGTTTAGCACTTCTGTGTCCAACCAATGAACTGCAGCAGAAAGTAGAGCAGGGAGTGTCTTGAAAGTATCAGTTTCAAATCATCTCTCGCATCACTCAGAAGTCATATGGGGTTCTGAGCAACCTGAGAGCTTCAGACATTGAAATCTGAGAATCAAAATCAAGTTCTGCTCCGATGGTAAGAGCACACTGCACACACCACACTCTGCTCCAGACCAGTGGCTCTCAACCTTCTGAACGCTACAACCCTTTAATATAATTTTAATATAGTTCTTGATGTTGTGGTGACCCCCACCATAAGGTTATTTTCATTGCTAATTCTTAACTGTAATTTTGTTAGTGTTATGAATTGTAATGTGTGTACTGTTATGAATTGTAATATGTGACAGGCAGGATAACTGATGTGCAACCCCCAAAGGGGTCATGCCGAGAACCAATGCAACCATGCAGAAGGTTAATTTCTCACTGTAAGATGAGGTATGTTGGGGCTGGAGAGATGGCTCAGAGGTTAAGAGCCCTGATTGCTCTTCCAGAGGTCCTGAGTTCAATTCCCAGCAACCACATGGTGGCTCACAACCATCTGTAATGAGATCTGGTGCCCTCTTCTGGTCTACAGTCATATATGCTGTATACATAATAAATAAATAAATCTTTAAAAAAAAAAAAAAAAAAAAAGATGAGGTATGTTGTACAAAAATTAGTTTTTAAGATATATAGCCTCTCATCCAAATCTTAACACAAAAGACACTTTCTTCAGAGTTGCCTTTCTTAGGAAGGGCTTGTGTGTGTGTGTGGGGGGGGTTCAGTTTCCAATTTTTTTTTTTTTTAAATAATGTAGTGAAAGACAATTCTTAAAAGCAAGTACTACTGGGTGTGGTGGCATACTTAATCCCACCTCTCAGGAGGCAGAGGCAAGTGAGTTGAAGGCTAACCTGGACTACTAGCCCAGGCCAGCCAGGGCTACATAAATCCCTGGAGACATTACACTTCTGCTAAGCTTATCAAAAGCTACAAGAAAATTCCATCCTCTTGAACAATGATTAAAGTTCCTCCCAGCCACAGAAAACTCCTTTTCTTGAACTGTGAAGAGAGCTGAGACCAGGTGGGTGAACTGAACCAGAAAGAATGAGAAACTCCCCTGAGGAAGGGCAGGGCCACTGCTTCACTTTGTGCTGAGCACAGAAGGGGTGGCCACCCTACATAAAATCAGAAGCCACAAAGTTTCAAGATGCGTAGACCAAAGGTAAACGTAAATATGCCAATGTGTCACTATAGCTGGGGACCTCAGAACTCCTGTCTAGGTGGTTGAGAGAGGATCACAACAACAAAGACAAACTCAGGATTGGTACAGGAGACCCAATAGGTTTTTTGCTAACATTTCTAGAACACTCCATCTTGGAAGAGCAAAATATATATTCTGTTTTGATTCATGTGGGACAGCCACCCAAAAAGATGTTTATTTTTCTGGGTTTTGTTGTTGTTTTGTTTTGTTTTTGAGCCAGGGACCCACTACATAACCCTGTCTGTCCTGGATCTCACTCTATAGACCAGACTGGCCGTGAACTCACAGAGATCCACCTGCCTCTGCCTCCCAAGTGCTGATATTAAATGGGTGTGACACTCTGAAAGGTCATTTTTGAGTCACCAAATAGAGTTTAAAATATATAAAGGGTAGATTGTTGTAGAATACTTGTTAAAGATGTGTTACAGTCTTTTATATTATGGAACATTTGTTTAATGATGCAAAGATGTGTTGCATTCCTTTATGTTGCATTTGTTTAACTCTGTGAAGCTGTGTTACTTCACCTGCCTAATTGGTCTAATAAAGAGCTGAATGGCCAATAGCTAGGCAGGAGAGAGAAATAGGCAGGGTTGTCAGGTAGAGACATAAATGAGAGAGAAAAGAAGAGAGATGAGAAGAGAGCAGAAGGGAGATGACACCAGAGGCCATCCATCCAGCTGCACAGCCAGCAATAGAGTAAGAAGTAAAGAAAGTAAAATAGAGAAGGGAAAAGCCCAGAGCAAAAGGCAGATGGGATAATTTAAGTTTAGAAAAGCTGCCAAGAAACAAGCCAAGACAGAGTATACATGAGAATGCTCTGTCTCCGTGTATTTATTTTGGAGCTCGGTGGTGGGCCTCCAAGAGGAAAGAGGAAAAAAGACCAACTACAGTAAACAGTCTAAAAACCATGCTACAAAAAAAATAAATAAATAAAAATAAAAATGCCATCTGACCACAACAGCAATAAATATGAAATCAGTAGCAGGAAGATATGTGGGAAACCCTCAAACATTTCAGTGTCAAAGAACACGCTTCATATAACTATGTGTTAAATAAGATATTAATAGAAAAACTAGGAAATACTTTAACATGAGAGAAAATGAACACCGGGTATTAAAAACACAGTGAAAAGCTTAATCCTATAGCAAGTGGATAGAATAACTTAGCAGATATCTTGGATCAGTTCTGGGAACCCAGGCTTCCAGTAAATGGACGAGCAGGAAATGTCTGCAGTGGTGGAAAGCTCTCAGGTTGAACATTCTCTGGAACCTGATATTCTGGCTGAAACTCCCCTGATACGTCACGAGAACTCACCCCTTCCTATGTGTCAACAGGCAGAGGAGCAAAGTGACAGGAGCCTTAACCTTCCAGGTTAGGGTGACAATAATGTAACCACAGAGACACATTGGTGGAAACTCAGAGAGCATCTTCTGAATCTGAAAGCCATGTTTATGCAGTCGATACAAATGTGGAAAAGGTAAAGTTGAAGAACACATAGAGACTGTAGTCCAGAATTAGTTTAAAAATTTATTCTAGAGATTCAGAAGTATGAACACTATGCTATAGGGAAAGATGGAAAAATCATTTTCTCACCTCATCAAACTGAAATTTCTGGTAGACAATCAACTGTTAAAATATTATACCTCTCAGATGAAAGTGAACATGAAAAAAGACACTTGTGCATATATACGTAAACACTATAATGTTGTATGATATTTTGTTTGTATTGTGGGACTTCTGGAAAGGATGGGGCTCATTCTCTTCCCACATTCCTCCTTGTTACAAAGTGTCTCAGAGGCCTAGGAGCATTGTTAGACAGTGCAACTCACGGAAACATGTGAGGCATTCTGAAAGTTTTCAAATGAGAGATCCTAGAAAGGGGTCAGGTTTCATACAATGATTGACAGGCTTTCTTCTCATGACTCAAAAAAGGAAAAGTGAAATTATCTCTTTAGTTTCAGTCACTCCTATCTGATTGCCTGTCTGTCCATTTTCCAGAGGTGATTATTATTATTATTATTATTATTATTATTATTATTATTATTATTATTTTGCATAGAGCAGACAGACACACAGATTGTCCAGTCCTGATGGAGCAGCATCCCCTCTAGATCAATGAGCTGTGCCATGTTCTTTCCACATGCTCAGAAGATACATTGTAAACATTTCTCTATATCATGTACTGAGTCAGACACTGAAAATCAGACCTCTCACTCATGGGAACAGCTACATTGATGTAATTTTCAAATTAGCAAGGAGTTTATTCCTAAATCTCAAAGATGAATGGGCATCAGAGGCTGTGTATTCATCTCTTGGGTCTGCTAGAATTTGAAAACAAAAAGTGTCATGGACTGATCCAGGTAGGATCTCCTGGATAACCTGAGTAATCATGATATATTGAGAGTTATTGTGTAAATAGTAAACCAAGCATGGGTAGGCTGTAGTGATTGCTCAGTGGTGAAGGGCACTGGATACTCTTCCAGGGGGCTAATGTTCAATAACAAATACCCACATGGAGCTCACAATCACCTGTAATTCCAGTTCCAGGGGCTCTGATCCTCTCTTTTGACCTCCATGGGCAACTAGGATGTACATGGTGCCCACATACATACATTCAGACAAAGCACCCATACACATAAATTAATATTGTATATATTGTACTTATTGTATATAGTTTTTAATATTAGTTATAACTTTCTTCTATTATTTTAGACAAAAGGGGATATGTAGTGACATATTTATAATTTAAGAAATAAAGCTTGCCTGAAGATCATAGGTCAGAGCCAGCCGCAGAATTAAACATAGAAGTGAGGCAGTGGTGGCACACACCTTTAATTCCAGCTCTTGGGATCACACACCTTTAATCCCAGCACTAGGAAGGTTGAAACAGGAAGTAATATATCTGGGCAGAGAAAGGAATATAAGGCAGGAGGAGACATGAATCTGCTCTCTTGCAGAGGCTCTATCAGGCTGAGGAGTTGGTGAGGTAAGAGGTGGTGGCTGTGGCTTGCTCTGCTTCTCTGATCTTTCAGCTTTCACCCTGATACCTGTCTCTGGGTTTTTATTGTAAGGCCATTTAGGACTTGTGCAACATATACAAATCTCATACAAACAGTGTCACCACATAATTTAAGTGCTAAAGGTAGGTGCCTGCCAAGGGTAGAAGATCCTCTGCAGCCAGGTTGTCCTGATCCACCACGTGGGTGCTGGAAATTAACTGAACCCTGGTCCTCTGCAAGAGCAGCCATCTCTCCAACCCATAACTCACATGTTGAAATGAGTTAACTGGTAATAACAGAAAAATTAACACCATTCTGTAACCAAATTTAAAAATTACCAATTTGTAACAAACCAGCAGCCACTTTTACAACCCAGGGTACTCTTGAGAAGGGAGAAGTGAGAAATATTAGCTAGAAAGAGAAACCTAGATGACCAGAGGAAAGACGGAAACACAGGATAGCCTCGGAAGGGCCTGGGTCTGAAGCCACCAGCCTTCAACTTTATTCCAAAGGGATTTTTATGACCATGCCAAGGGGAGGATCAAAGACCTCCCCCTTGCTCAATACAGCCAAGTGTAAACCCTTACAAATACCTGATACTCAGGCCGTGGTCCAATCATCCTCTTTATGCAGACCTGCTGGGCAAAGCCAC